GACAGCTTCCTACATGCAGGATCAGTTGGATTGAGGGCACTTTCAGATAAACAGCTTCCTACCCACTGCCACAGCCAGAAATACTACAGTATACAGTACTCGTCCATAGTCAAAAGACAACTGTACTATCTGTGTGTCTCCGTTTCTGGATCAGCTGAGATTGAAAGACTTAGTCATTTACTTTTGCTATATAATACTCAAGGGAAGAAACTGGTAGTTTCTCCTAGTTTGGTTGGGCTTTTCCCAGTGTCTCTAGTCTACGACACACCACCAAAACACAATAAACATGCTCAGAAAATAATTTTTATACCAGAAGTCTCCCAAGTATCAACACAGCAACGTATGACCTTCTGCAGAATGACCCTGTTTTGATCCCACATTCTGTACATGCACAAAATTAGTGGGTGGGAAGAATGCTGAACAAAATGGTTTGTTTGTTTTCAAATGTGACTGCATTTGATTTGGTCGATGTGCCGTATTCAGCTAGCATTTGTTATGTCAAAAACTCCCCCCCCGCCCCCATTTTGTACTTCAGAAGACGACCTGCCTACCTAATCAGATGGAGATCAAGGCCCAACTGCGAAAGGCATTCTGAGGGGAAAAGTGTCTTCCTCAATTTACAAGCCAAGGCTGCATTGAGGAAACTTGAGTACAGTATAATGTTTATTTAAACACTGTGCTAACTATGAATTTTGATTTATTGTCTTCACAAGCTTTTTGTATGCAAACACAGAGAGAGAGATAGTTGCCTTGCACAGTGGGATTATTATACTGTGGTGTTGTATTGTGGAAACTGTCAGAGACACCACCTAGTGGCTGTTTTTACTTTAGTTGTTCGAGGCACCTAAATCAAAGAGGTAGTCATACAAGTCATGCTAACATGTTAATTGATCCACAGTCAAAACGGGTTTTATTCAGCATTCCTTCCAAATAAAAATTGAAATGCGGTAGGTTCTTCCTTTATTTTAAAAAAAATCCTCCAAGCCACATACATGTCACACCAGGGATCTGTTGTGAACTTTTGTAGCGTTAACTGCTGTTTAAATACAGTACTTGTTGCGACTGCTTCATTTATTCTTTTAATCTTCCAGTCTCCTGCAATGTGATCTTGTTTTAATTCACTGCTATCATTTAAAGTCTCTTTGCTTTATTGACATTTCTTGTTCTCTGCTTTGGTTATTTTGCATCAATGTTGTACAAACGGGATATAAATAAATTCCTAAAACAAATGACAGAGACGCGAAGTCTCATATGTTAGGTTCAAAAATGTTTGCTGCATATCACACGTGAACTTCTGCTTCAGCTGCTGCAATGTCCAAGAATGTGAAGACCAGCTGCCCATATGGGAGCAGCTGGAGCTTCTGTAAGGAAAGCTTAAAGGGCTGTGCAACATGCATCCTGTGTATTGCAGATGGCTCCTCAAGGGTGTTTTTTTATTCCCCCCCATTGTGCTGCCCCCTACTGTCACTACGTGCACCAGCCACCTCTCTGCAACATCTCCTTACAGCTGTTGCTTGTTCCCTATTTTCTGCCCATCCTCCTCTTGGCTCCTTCCTGCTTTCCTTCATTATGCACCTTGGAGTCAGACTACACTAGATGTCAGCTTCACAATTAGAAGCAGAGGTTCCTGAGGAGGTAAAGGATGTTTGATTTCTGCGCAGTTCCACAAGCTGCACATTAGGTTGTTTTTGTTTGGCGACTGGTCATTGGGAGTAAAGAGCGAGGTACATTTGCAAGGTGATTGCACAGACATAGGGGCCCTGGAAGAAGACAACTCTTGAGGGGTAACATTTTTACCACCTTCTGTTTGCAAAGCTTGAATCTTGTACTGTATAGTTTGGCCCACATAGAAGTAGAATTCCTACTGAGATGCACTGGGAAATCTGGCAGCTGCCACATTCAGTCCAACGGTGATGGCAGCAGTGTCACCCACAATGCAGCCCACTAAGTGTTTTGCTGGCCCCCAGAATACAGACAGTTAGTTGTCCATACTTCTTTTTGTGAGAAAGGTGTGTCTGGGAGAGGTGGAAGGCAGAGCAGCTGAGATCCAAAATGTCGAAAGCCCAGAGGACCAACAAAGTGAAAGGAATTTGAGGAGGCAAAGGGGCACGTTATAGACAAGAGACAAGTGGCCCTTTGAAAACTACAGCGGTTACATAAATTGTTTTTGTTTCCCTTAATACCCTACAATTCTTCACAGAAGATGAGCAATGCACTGCAAAACTACTAAACTAAGAGTGGGGACCCTCATCCTCTGAACCTTCCCAGAAGCCCTAATCAAGCCCTCTGTGGGTCCTCCAACTGCCACATGCCCTTCCTTGCAATGGCTTTGTTCAGTGTTCTCCTAGGTTCCTCCCATTCTAAGAAGCTGAAATACATCTAAACCTTAATTACTAGAAGCTAAATTATGCTGCAAAGTCCATTATGTTGGTATTTTCACCACCATCCTTTCCTCCGCCTTTCTCAAATTGAATTTGGTTCTTGGTATGAGAAAGATTCCTCACTCTTCCAGTAAACTCGTATTTGTTTATAATCATATTGCTGAGATGCTATTTTCAAATCCAGTAGTTGCTTCAACTTCTCAGTTCAGTTTACAAATATAAGAAGTATCTTGGCTTCAGCAAAGCCTTTGACGAAGTGCCCCATGACATTCTATCAACAAGCTAACTAGGTGTGGGCAGGATAAAGCAACTGTCAGGTGGATATGTGGTTGGTTACAGATTGTACTCAGGGGGTGTTTATTAATTATTCCTTCTGAAAATGAGAAAAGGGAACAAGTGGGGTTCCTCAGTCCTGGGCCCAGGAGCTCTTCAGCATTCTTATTAATGACTTGGATGAGGGACTGTAGGGAATACAGTACTTAGAATTTGCAGATGATACAACATTGGGTGGAATTGCAATTGCCTTGGAAGACAGAAACAAAATTCAAAAAGATCTTGATGGGCTTGAGTACTGGGCTGAAAACAACAGAATTAAATTTAACAGGAATAAGTGCAAAGTTCTACCTAGGGAAAAGAAACAGAAATGCATAGCTACAAGATGGGGGATACTACAAATGAGAAGGATCTTGGAATGATTGTAGATCAAAAGCTGAATATGAGCCCACAGTGGGATGTGGCTGCAAAAGAAAAAAAAGGCAAATGTAATTTTAGGATGGATCAAGAGAAATAGTTTCCAAAAGGCCTTATCTAGAGTACTGTGTCCAATTCTGGACACCACACTTTAAGGATGATAGCTTATTGGAGCAAGTTCAGAGAACGATAACAAGGAGGATCAGGAGACTGGAAACCCAGCCCTATGAGGAAAGTTTGAAAGAACCGGACATATTTAGCCTTGAAAAAAGAACAATGAGGGGAGTTATGATAGCACTTTTAAAATACTAGAAAAGTAATTATACAGAGGAGGAGCAGGATCTGTTCTTGATCATCCCAGAGTGCAGGACATGTAATAATGTGCTCAAGCTGCAGGAAAACAGATTTACACTGTATATAAGAAAAATCCCAGAGTGCAGGACATGTAATAATGTGTTCAAGCTACAGGAAAACAGATTTACACTGAATATAAGAAAAAAACTTTGTTAGAGCAGTATGACAATGGAACCAATTACCTTGGGAGGAGTTGAACACTCCAATGCTGGAGGCATTTAGGAGAAAATTGGACAACCATCTGTCAGATCTACTTTGATTTGGATTCCTGCACTGAACAGCTGGTTGGATTTCATGGCTTCATAGACCCCTTCCATTATTCAATGATTCTATGATTCTAAAATAAAAAACGATTGAAGTAAAATTGCTCTTGGCCATGGGCATCATTCCTTAAATTTACCACAGAGTAATTGGATATAAACCATGGAATGAGGGAGTTGCTGAATGACAGGCCACCCTCTGTCTGGCAAGATTAGGAGAAACATTCTAATCCACATAACCAGAGGTGAAATCTGATGCCTGCCACCTCCAAACTGAATATGCATCCCCCCCCCCATTTTCAAACTTGCTTTAGGGGGAGAAGCTTGGCTTGCATTCCTGGGCATGACTTTTGGAATTTGACTTCTGTGCTATCCCTCAGGTCTGTGCTGCTACCAGCCTGTTGAAGGCCCATGCAGGCTTGGAAGTCAGTTTACATTCTGGGTTTTTAGTGGTGTAAAAATCCTTGCCTCCACAGAATAATTGGAGGTGGCCTACACATACTTTGAGTTAAAGGGTGTGCTTTGGGATAGGATGGCATTATTCCCAAGTGAAGTTGATATCCAGATACTCTCTTTCTAGAAAGGAAAAAAGGAAAATTATTACATGTTGCTCGCCATTTGGACAAGAGGATAAGGGAAATACAGTCAATGGAAGAGAAGAAGTGCCACCCCTCCCCAAAGAATCCTTTTCTCTCTATGTGTGGGGTGTGTGTGTTGCATTTTGCATTGTTTTTCCTTTTGTTTTCCTGTCACTTTCATTGCTTCTCTTCAGGCGCTGACAAAACAGAGTATTACTAGCATTTCCTTCTTCTTCAGGGCTGTGATTAAATCTCCTTAGCCTTTTTGTCAAAGCCTGTCAGAGAAGAAGTGTCAGGTCATTATTTGATGCCACAACTGAAATTGCTCTCTACTTTCCTCCATTTGGTGAGGAAGAGGCCTTTTCTCACGGAAGGTATTAGAGGGCTATTTTTAAATACCAAGTCTGGCCCGTAAGAGTTAAAAATAGGCTTCCAGGAAAATGTCTTTAAAGAGGAACACTAATTAGTTAAACCTCATTAGACATCACATGGGAAGGGAAAAGCTCCTCCTGAGAAAAGAATATACGAAGAGCCGCCTTGACGTAGATCCGTACTTAGAGCAGAATCAGAGGTAGGCAGTGAAGGAGGCTGTGTGGTTAAAAGGGAGGGCGGGGAACTGTCACCCTTAAGGAGGCTGGCCTTCAGTGACAGACTTCTTCTTGCTTGGCCCAACTGCTCTGAGGAATCCCATGGAGCTTCTCCTTCAGAGGGAACAACATTAGGAGCTGATCTCAAGGATGGAGCTGGGAAGAGCTAAACTTCTGAGAACAGGTCTTAATGCTTTGTACCAGGCCATCCACCCGGTGCATGGGATTGCATGGACAGATGGCAAGCAAGTGGCCCTGACTGCTTTGCACTATCATAACAAAGAGCTGAAGTTTGGAGACTCGATCGTTATTGGTCAGTTCGACCATGTCCATGGGCTTTACTGGAGCGCATGCCTTTCTGCCAACACACCTGCTCTGCTTGCGATCCAGCATAAGAAGCACGTTAGTGTCTGGCAGCTGTGCCACGATACCTCGGAGAAGAAAAAGCTCCTGGTTTCTCAGACCTGTGAAGTGGGCGAGCCATTCCAATTGCTTCCTCAGGGCTGCGTGTGGCATCCGAAGAAGGACATTTTATCAGTACTTACCAAAAGGGATGCTTCTGTTTTGTATGCTGTCCGTTCCGACAACTCCAGGATTAAAGCGGATATCAAAAGCAGCGGTCTCATCCACTGTGCTTGCTGGACGAAGGATGGCAACCGCCTGGTCATTGCCATAAGCAGTGCTCTTCATTCCTACATATGGGACGATGCTCAGAAGACCTTAAATGCTTGTTCCTTTTGCCCAATATTTGACGTTGGAGGCTACATCTGTGCTATCCAAGCCACGCTGGATTTCCAGGTTGCTGTGGCTACTGAACTTCCCCTTGATAAGATATGTGGCTTGAATGCAGGTATTACATTTGACTTGCCAGCAGGTACTGAAACAGGTTCTCTGGCTTCACAGTCCACACTGGTGCTTGGGGATGAGGAATACTCAATGGATTTGAGAAGGAAGTCTATAGATTCAGATAAATCGGTAACCGTTGATTCTGTAGCCTCATCTTCATCAGGCCCAGTTGATTTAACCCACATCCTTGCAAACCACCGGAGATCTGACCCCAGTCCCCTCATCCCTTTGAGAAGGAAAGATTATTCTTCAGGAGGAACTGGACAAGATTCTTCACATTTGATCTTGGTTACATTTGAAGGAAAGGTAACCACAACCAGAAAAGTCAGCATTCCAGGCATTTTGGTCCCTGATATAATTGCCTTTGACCTCAGAGCTCAAATTGTGGCAATAGCTTCTAATACTTGTAACATTGTTTTGGTCTATTCAGTAACCTCATCTTGCATGCCCAACATTCAACAAATCCAATTAGAGAAAAGTGAGCGGCCCAAGGGGTTAACCTTTTTGACAGATCACCTCTTGTTAATTTTGATTGGCAAGCAAAAGTTCATCGATCCTGCACTTATTCCCTCTTCTAACTCAGACAGATATATTATCCGCCTGATGATCAAGGAATTATCATTTGAAGAAAAGCCAACAGCAAAACATGATGCTGCTCGAAGTCTGCCATTTAGTTTTGAGTCCTCGGTGAACCTTCCTGGGAAAAGAAAATACTTTGAGAATCTTGCTTCAGAGGATCACATTGTAGGCCGGGGGCTTTTAATACCAGGGAGCACTGTCATCCAGTCGCCTAGCGGAAGGAGGCACATGCTTGAAGAAGTGAAGAGTCCTAGTTATGAGCAAAGTTCATCATCCAGTGTGAGTGATTTTGATGAGAGAAGACTCTTTGGAGATCCATCCGTTGCTCTAGAAATGTTGGATACTGAACCAATTAATCGATCAGTGGCCCTGTTTGGTCTTGGAACACCTACTAGATTTTCAGGTAGATCAGTTTCTCCTAAAGACATGCAAGAAAGTTTAAGTTCTCCTAAAAACAATGCCTTAGCTAGTGAAAAAGGAGCAAATCAGATATCCAGAAATTTGGAACGTTTGTGTGGCAGTTTCAATGACTTACAACTGCGACTTGTTGAACTAACAGAATTCACAAAAAATGGGAAGAGGTTATCTCTAACCTATCCATCTTCTCAAGAGCCACCTTTTGTTCACATCACCTATCAGGTAACTATATAAAATTCTTTCAGGTAATTTGTTCTTGAAAACTTTCTAAGGCTGTGGAATTCTTTGGTTTTCAGCTTAGTTAGCAACTCTGAGTATATCACTCTGTTCTTGATTTAAATAGAAGTTATTGTTCAGCAAAACAGTGTTGTGTGTAATATTCTGCATGGGGTGGGAGCTCTTGATCTGTTCTTTGTTTGCTGTACAGCACAACTGCCATTAATATATTCTGTCTTCATTTGCTTCTTTCAAGTCTGACAGGTAACTGCTTTCAAATCTGAAGGCCTTAATTACTGTAACAGGTACTTTGTAGTATATAAGTGGCTTTTAAAATGTTTTGAATAGGGAGAGAAGTTTTGCGGTTGACATTTGTCAATGAGAACAGAATACTGCAAAGATTCATAGAACATACAGCAAACCAAGGTTCAGGAAGTGCAGGATATTAACTAATGATTATGTAATTAAATGATTTTTTTTTTAAAGCCAAAGATAAGGATTTATTTTCCTTCACACGTGCAGAAGGGCTTCTTTTTCTTTCCTTCTCAATGAGATCAAACCTTCCCCTGTTTACTCTTCAAGAAAATCATTTCCAAAATGTTAGCACTATTTAATTTATTCCTTTAACTGTTACCTAATATTGCAGTGTTTTCTAGTGTACAAAATAATTTTCTGTTCTGTTGTTTGGTCAGCTACATTCAATAAACTACAACGTAAAATGGCAATATTGTATTCTGAACAACTAAGGGATGTTTCAACACAAAATAAATACATAAAAATGCATTGCTAGACAGAAAATCACATTATTATTACTTTTTCCATCTCACTGTCTTCCAACAAACTTCTCCTGTTGAGCTATTATTCAGTCTTTCTGGAGATCTTCAGCAGTGGCTCTGTCATTATCAAAAGAACTGCCATGTGTCCCACCATCACAAGAGGCTAGGTTGGTGAGTAGATGAGATAGGGTAATACAGTACCTTAATTGTACAACTCCCTCTCAAAGGATATCAGGTTGGCTCGATCCTTTTTAAAATCTCTTTTATTGTACATCACTTTGGGAGCACTAGCAGAACATTGGTAAACAAATACTTAAAACTGTGAGCACGGAGGAAGGGTGAGGTAACTAAAGAAAGTTGTTCTGTAGATCTTCAAGCTCCATAGTCTTCATGGTTTCTCCACTTTACAGAAGTGGAATAAATGATCAAGAGCAGAAGGGAGAGCAAGACTGTACTACAGTATGTCACAATGAAGGAAGGTCATTCTGTGGGCAGTCGGCTATTTCTATCCTTGTGATTCCTTGGCATTGAGTCCCTATCACAAACACAAATTATTTTTCTAAGTGTCGTGACTTTTGTACCCATTCCTGCTTCTGCATTTAAATTACTCATATTTGAAACAAATTCACTACTTTAATCCACAACAAAGTAAATGCATTGAAACAAACAGTAGGAAAAATGCTTATTACAACTCGCTTCTTCTCCTCTACTTCTCCCATAAGGGAACTCTTGACTTGCCTACCAATTCCTGTAGATTGTGCCCATGCCACTTTTTTGTGGCTAAGGAAAACCTCAAAAGTTGTTCCTGTAATCATTCCTATGTGCTTCCATTCCTTTGTTTCTTAGAAGGAACCAACAGACCCTTCAGTACTTTGTGCCACTCTAATATTGGGGTGCTGGACTTCTGATTCACATTTTATCCCCTCTAAATTATTTAATAGTGCCCATGCCCATCCCCACGATGCTTAGTTCATTACAACTCCACACCATCATATTCATCCTCCAAACTTTAGGTCAGATTAATGAAAACAATATCCAAAGAGTCTGATTCTGAAACAATTCCTTTAGGGGTTGATAGGATGATTTAAAGTGCAGAAGATACTTGCCATCCAGGAAGCTGCTGCTT